ATGAACTCCGACAACAATATTATTTTTTCGATTCATGCGAAACTTAAATACCTGTTTTGTATCATTTTTAAAATTTATATGACTTTTCTGTACCTGTCTATTGTAAACTTGTGCTGCAGTGTTGTTGCAATTTTTAGTTGATTTTTTAATTGCTTGTAAGTGGTTTTCAAATTTAAAAGCGCTGATTTCTTCTAATGGTCCAAATTTCTTTGCATCTTCATGAAGGTGCAACAAGTAGTGAAAATTTGTTGTTAAATACTTTGTTTCATACAAGCGGGGGATATCCTGTACAAACGACATTAATAACTTTTGTGCACAAGCGTTGTTTGTAACTGCATCCCTTATTTTCAATAAGATTTTATTGGTACGTGATAAATGTAGAAAATGAAAAAATCTTTCGCTGTCTAAAATTGATTTTAATAGAAACGCGGACCGGTGTATAACAGAAATTGTCTGAATTCTGTAGCTTTCCATCTATCAAGTCTCGTGTAAGGTTCCTGGTTTTCTCACGAAATCGTTAGTTATGTACGCTCCTAGCTGTAGCAATTTTCTGTCCAGTTCTTCCAATTTCCATGATGTTAAGCAATAGTCTTAGCCTCTTTCTTTTCTAAAAGCGTTAAAAAGAGTTCGCATAACTTCAAGGCAAACAATGTGCATATAGTCTAAACTTATTTGGCCAATCATGTCAATGTCAATGCTCTTTAAAATTGTGGCAGTTATTGTATAATGGTGATTCGGGTGAGTGCATTGTCTAAATGTTTCATTGGTTCTAGGTATACAATTGTCATTGAAAGGAAAAAACTACGCGATTTTTAACCGTTTCTTCTTTCTGTGTGCAACGTACATACGAATAATATCCCATGTGTCCTTTTACTCCCAATATCAACGATCAAGCTGGTGCATTCATTATAAGTACTCTAATATTGATTACAATATGCTGACTTTCGAAGTTGATTCCTTCTATCGTCAATTCTTTTAATTCAGAAACAAAATAGGAGAGGAATGCAAATACACATTTCGGTTTTGAGTTACCTTCATAAGCACCTATACAGAGTACTTCAGATGTGTTAACAACACCACACAAAATAGGCCAAATCTGTTTATTTGAGCTTTTACTCAAAGGTAATCCATCAATATAAAAATCTAAGTCAATTCTTTTTATTTCGCTACTATTGTTTCTTAAATAATCAGTCAGCGCATCCTTAATGCCATACTATACATATCTTCCTTCTCCCATTTCCCTGGCAATCACTTCTTCGGGAGTATTTTTTAATGTTCTTGCATCTCCTGGCACATTAATTTTATTAGTTTCTCGAAATTGCAATAATTCATTAATTACATTATTACTTATGTTATTTTTAATAGCCCACTTGCTAAGATCGGTCGTTATGTTATTTTCAACATATTATTAGAAATATTATGTTTTTCTATATTTTCAACAATATACTAAGTTCATTTTTTATAACTTTTTCTGAATTTTTATTATCACATGCCTTACTTTTTTTTAAATCAAATATGCTCGAAATAATATTCCGTGCTTCCCTTTTAGCTGCTTTTCTTAAAGCAGACATTATGCTAGTTATTTTATTAAATACAATGTATTTAGTACATTACATATTTAAAGTTATTAACTTTGAATAATAAAATATCAAAATATTACTTACATATATTTATTTATTACAATTATTTTATTAAAATTATTCTATTAAAATTTATTTATTTAAATTTCACAACACCACAACTTTAACACTTCAAATGCACTTTAAGAATAGAGAAATAAAAGTGACATATGTAGATATTATGTTACAGAAAAAACAAAAAGAGCAAATTAACAATTTTGAGACAACAATCGCTTAACGATCGTCCAAATGCGTAATAAGGAAATAACTTAAAAACACATTCGCCAAACAATCATCGAGACGAGTGATTGCACTTCAAGAATAGAGAAACAAAAGCGACATACGTAAACATTATATTTCAGAGAAAATAAAAAGAGCAAATGAGTAACTTTGAGAGAAAAATTGCTTAACCATCGTCAAGGCGAGTCATAAGCGAACATTTTGACGATTGGCGATAAATGAATCGTCTAAATGCTAGCTGGGATGTCCCTTCGTGGAAAGTGTTCTTCAATCTTTAGCGATAATGGAAAAAATTTTCTTGGTGCTTCTCGTGTGTTAAACGAGATGCATGCAGCAATTATGTCACAGTCTCGGAACGAAATCATTTCCGCATCTTTAGCAGAAGACGGAATTCGATGGAGTTCTATCCCACCACATGCACCACATTGGGGTGGAATCGGCAGTACGATCAGTCAAGTTACATCTACGGTGCGTAATAGGCAATGTAGTGATTACTTTTGACCAGATGAATACCTTGCTGACACAAATTGAAGCTGTTGTGAATTCTTGCCCCCTAGGCGCTACATCAGACCCAGATACTAATTATCTTTCTCCTTCTCATTTTTTGATTCGTCGTCCGTTCACGTTGGTTCCAGAAGACGATCTAAGTCATGTAAACGTCAACAGGTTAGACTACAGGTTGACATCTCTACAAAACCGTCCGAAATGGTTTCGACGGCAACCAAATATAGCTGTGGGCAACATAGCGGTCATTAAGAAATCGAACATACCACCAGCAAAGTTGCTCATGGCTATGGTAACTGAAATACATCCTGGTTTAGATGGGCTCGTTCGAGTCGTAAAAATTCACACTGTCCACGGGGAGATAACGCGACCCATTACGAAGGTTGTTGTTTTACCTGTATTCTGAAACACTTCAGAGTCGCCCGGGATGTTCGTGAATACCAAATACATTGGGATTTCACCTTTTTGAACATTTGTTCAAAAAAAAGCGAAATGTATTGTAACACCACACTTTTAGCTTGGTTGTTATTCGTAGTAGTTCGGTGTATGCACGTGGGTTCTTTTATTTGTTACAATTGAAAAACTTGAAAATTAAATAAAATGTATTCTTAATCATTTAATATTAAATTGAAAATTAATAAAGTGTATTCTTAATCAACTACCAAGGAACAGCTACATAACTAAGTTTATTGTAGAAAGATATCATTAAAAATAGAAGCATTTAAACCATAAAACGATGATTACCGATAATTTTCAGAAATACCACATTCCAGAATTGTGTAGACTGTTAAAAAGTAAGGAATAATAGCCGACATTGCAAAGTTCGTGATGCGAGACCAAAGCCACTGAAGATTAGTGTGCTACCAGAAGCACGACTATCTGCATACTCCCGACCATTCTCACATGTCTGAATTGTGAGACTCTTTAGTCCTTATATGGTCACGGTAGGAAGACACTCAGAAAACCGCTACGGCGTCACATACCTTACGTGTCGGGTAGTGCATTTGGAAATAGTTTATAGCCTATTAGCTAGCTCGTGTTGTGTCGTGATACGAAATTTTATAGCCCGATGAGGTATGTCAAAGGTCATCTATAGTGACAATAAAACTAATTTAACAGCAGCTGAAAAAGATTTACGAGAATCAGTGGCGAACGTGAACTTAAATGAATTACAAGCGGAATTTACAAGTCCGGAAACTCAATGGATTTTTCTTCCACCTGCTGCACCATACATAGGTGAAGCGTGGGAGCGTATGGTATACTCCATAAAAACAGTAATAGGTACGATAATAAGCCCCCAAGAAACAATTAACAATAAAAAGATGCATAACTTGTTATACGGGGTAGAATCAATTGCAAAACGCAGACCTCTTACTTATCGGCCCATTGAAACAACAAGCAAAGAAGCGTTAACTGCAAATTATTTATTATTTCTATTTTTTTATTTGTTCAAGTTTCGGGAACAAGCCACCGGGAAAGTTTGATACTAAGGGCGAGCAATACCTTGCCGACCAGTTCTAGAAAATGTGGGTACAAGAGATGCTTCCAACAATGACAATACGGAGAAATGGTTTAATAAAATAAATCCCATTAAAAAAGATAACGTCGTTATTATTGTTGACGCAAACTTACCGTGCTATACATGGCTGAGAGGAATCGTGATTAGTATCATCAGTATCATCAAAGCAAGAGATAGGCAGATCAGGTGCGCCATACTGAAGACTTCTCGAGTGCAATATCATAGATCCGCAGCTAAATTTGCCATATTAGAAGAACAAAGGAGCGGCAGTTTGAATTAAGTAGTATTCTTCTTAAAAAGATAATGGTGGTATATTGTTAGAAAATTGGAATTTCTCCAGCAAATATTCTTGGACCATTTCTTTACTTATCTTCCTGTTGAATATTTGTTTATATTATATTATATTATTGTTTTTATTAAATTTGTATGAATAATTTGTTATTTTTATTTGTATTGTAATAATTGTGTTAAATATATTTGGTGTAAAAAATAACGTTGTCAATGCAATGCCCAAAATACGTCATACGCTTCTGCTGGCACATGAAAACAAAAGCGTCAAATTTCGTCTGGAAGAAAATGCACTCTTGCAGTTTGCAATAAGTTCATTGTTTGGCATGCATTGTCAAGGTTATTTTAGTTAATTTATTTGTTGTAAATTAATTATCAATTTTAAATAAAAGGCACAATTGAATTTTTGACAATTGAATTGATGCGAAGCCACATTCGTGATTGATTCATTTCTTTAGCTTTGTAAATTTAGTTCAAGTGCTGAATTTACGTCACAAAAGCGCCTATTCACTGGATTTAAGTGTTCAGTGACTAGGATAATTAGGAAAATCGTCGAAATCTCTGGGTTCAAGTACTCAGTGGTTTTCTTGTTTAAATAGAATCAACATAAGTACTGGATCCAAGTGTTCAGTGCTTGCAAATAGTTGATTCCAACGTTGATCAGACATTTTGGTTTGATCGTACATTTTGGTGACCCCGTGAAACGGACAGCAGCACAGGACTGGTTTGACGCAGCAACAATCAACAATCAACAGTCAGCGGTTAAGTTTCAGCATTCAGCATTCGAAGAACATTCTTAAGCACATTTGGCAAAAAACTACAAATCATCAATGACAACTCTTAATGAACTCATAGATGCCCAAAAAGAAAAGGGCGAAGAGATTCAGCGAATCATCAGGAACTTCAAAAAGGATTCGGCTGAACGCAAGCAAACATCAGCATACTACAGTGAAAGATTTCGTCGGCTTGATGTTGCTTGGAAGCAGTTTGAACAAACTGACACAATGCTCAGAACTCTCATCGATCAACCGACAGATGATGAGTATTTTACATCTTCCTATTACGAGAAAATAAGAGAACTAACAAATGAATACAGTGAAATATTCAAGACAGAAGCCATTCGGATCAAAGCAGCAGACAACTTTGGTGAAGCTGTTAGTAACCAAATGGCATCACAGCCGCAACTAGTGGCTACGACAAATGGTTTGATAAGAAAAATATCTGCTCGAATGGCAGCTCTAAAAAGATTAGTAGAGAGTTTGTCAGAGTGCGAAGGCATACAACCACTTCAATATTACGAAATTAAATCAAACACAATCATGCAACATTGGAACCAATTGGAATGTTTGCATGATGAAATCTGGGAAAACTTTGAAAATCCACTGATGTCAGGATTCAATCAAGATGAGTATTACCAAATTGAAGATTTGGTACAACAATGTTTGATAGAGTTGTCCATAAAATTGGATCAATTACAACAGAAACAAGCAACAGTAGCAGAACCAAACATGCGGTCCTCACTGCCATTGCCAAAGGTAACAATCCCAAGCTTTAATGGGAATTACTTAAAATGGAGGCAATTTTTTGACTTGTTTACACAAATGGTAGACAATCAGCCACTACCAGCTGCTCAAAAAATGTGGTACTTGAAATCACATGTGACAGGTGAAGCTGAAAAATTGATAAGTCATTTCAGCATAACGGAGGACAATTATTTGGCAGCTTGGACATTACTGCAAGACCGTTATAATAATAAAAGGGTCTTGGCGTCCACATTAATCGATGAACTTCTAAATCAGCCATCAGGCACATCAACTGTGGCAGCAGTTAAAAATTTACATGACACAACGAAAGAGTGTCTATTAGCACTAAACAATCTTGGCGTTCAAACGACATTTTGGGACCCAATTTTGTTACAGGTACTAATTAAAAAACTCGAACGGGCGATGCTCATTAGATATGAGCAATCTCTGGCAAAACCAAAAGAGATACAAAACATTCAGGAGTTCTTAGCCTTTTTAGAACTACAGTTCCAACTGATGGAAGTTGTAGAACAAAAAGATAAGGTGGCTATAAAAATTAAAGCAAATCGAAATAATTCAGTGTCATCGGCTGTAACAGTTTCTAAAGGAAACAACAATTGCAAACTGTGCAATGTAGACAGGCACCCACTGTATCATTGCCGTAAATTTTTGCAATTTTCACCATCTCAACGATTGGATTGGGTGAAAAATCAACAGCTCTGTTTTAACTGTTTCAGAAATGATCATGTGGTGAACAAATGTTCATCAAGAAGTTGTACCAAATGTAATAAAAAGCATAACACGTTGCTACATTTGGAAGTTACAAAACAGAACATTCAACCTAGCTCAAGTGGGTACAACACCGCAGTTACCACAGCGACAGCAAACACATCCACAGGTCATCGTGATTATGTTCTCTTGCCAACTGCAAGAGTCAAAATAATTGCATCTAATGGAAATACAAGTGAAGTCCGAGCATTACTAGACTCTGGTTCGCAAGTGAACATAGTCTCTGAGCGTCTTGTCAAAAGGCTCAATATATCAAAAACAAAATCGTTATTGTGCATAGAAGGTATAGGAAAGGTGCAAAAAAATTCAACGCAGCGAGTTAACATCAAATTGCAATCACTTAACTCAAGGTTTACTACAGAAGTCGAAGCGTTTGTGCTTCCAAATATAGTTCCACCTCAACCAAGTTGCAGCTACGATATTTCCAAATGGAAGGTCCCGAACAGCATTCAGTTAGCAGATCCAACATTTTTCCAACAAGGGAAAATTGATATTTTACTCGGTGCGGAGTTCTATTTTAGTCTGTTAAAGAAAGGTAAATTAACGCTTGCTCCTGGGCTTCCAGTCTTGCAAAATTCTACACTTGGCTGGATTGTCAGTGGCAAGGTTGCATCAAATACAGACAAATCAAACGTTTTATGTGTAGTTTTTGGCGGTGGGGCGGAGGTTGTTGATAATAACTCATCGTTAGAAGATGCAATTGAACGATTATGGCGAATGGATGAGGTGAATACAACAGAAAGGACATTATCTAAAGAAGAAAAATTATGCGAATCTCATTTTGTGCAGAACGTCCATACAAATAAAGAAGGACGTTTTGTGGTAAGGTTGCCGTTTCTGGAAAACTCATTGACGTTAGGGGAATCTCAAGAAAAAGCTTGGAGAAGGTTCATCAGTCTTGAACGACGACTAGCAAAAAATGATGTTTTGCGGAAACAATATGTCCAGTTTATGGAAGAGTATGAGCGATTGGGTCACATGACTGAAGTAAACTTGGATTCCATGTTGACTCCAAGATATTTCATTCCTCATCATTGCGTACTAAAACTAGATAGTACAATTACTAAACTTCGAGTGGTGTTTGACGCATCAGCCAAAACTACATCTGGACACTCGTTGATTGATTTAATGTATAACGGACCGACAGTTCAAAGTGAACTCTTTTCAATTCTGCTCCGTTTTAGGCGACCACGGTTTGTTTTCACCACAGATATCGAGAAAATGTATCGTCAAGTTTTCATAAATCCTGAAGATCGACGCTATCAACTTATCATTTGGAGAAGCAGTCCAAATTCTACGATTCGTTATTATCAGCTAAACACAATTACATATGGAACTCGAGCAGCTCCTTACCTAGCAACAATATGTCTGCAAAAGATAGCATTAGAAAATAAGGTGAATTATCCATTAGGTGCTTAAATCCTGTGTGGCAATTTCTACGTTGACGATGGGCTCGGTGGATCAGATAGTTTAATTACGGCTATTGAAGCTCAAAGGCAATTAATCCATATTTTGAAGAAGCATCATTTTTGTCTTCGGAAATGGAGCGCAAACCATCCTCAACTTTTAAAAAACATTTCTCAAGATGATCAAGAGGTGAATCTAGATTTCGATAATAACGAGTCAATCAAAACGCTGGGACTATTTTGGTTGCCCAAAGCAGATTTATTTGGAATTAAGGTCAAAATGGTTACTGAAGGAATAATCACGAAGAGAGTCGTTAGTTCTGATTTAGCTAGACTGTTCGACCCACTTGGTTTAATAGCTCCAGTAATAGTCAAAGCAAAGATTTTCATACAACACTTATGGCAATTGAAATTATCTTGGGATGAACCACTTCCTACAGATCTTCGTACAACGTGGTCAACATTTAGAGAAAAATTAAGTACTCTTGAAAATCTTCAGGTGGCAAGACATATCTTCAGAGGCGAAGTTCCATCATCAACACAGCTACATATTTTTGCTGACGCATCTGAAAAGGCATTTGGTGCTGCAGCATATGTCAGAGCAATTTTAAAAGATGGTAGAATAATAGTGCGACTGTTATGTGCAAAGTCAAGAGTAGCACCACTTAAAAAACAAACGCTACCGCGACTAGAACTATGTGCGGCAGTCCTAGCAGCGGAACTCTCAGCAAGAGTGAAAAGCGATCTTCAAGAGAAGGACCAGCCGGTATTTTTGTGGACTGATCCAGAAATTGTGTTGTCTTGGATCAACTCACAGTCCTCATCATTTCAAACATTTGTAGCTAACAGGGTAGCAAGAATTCAAACTTTAACTCTGTCTGAACAGTGGCGACATGTTAGGTCAAAGGACAACCCAGCTGATGTGTTATCAAGAGGACTTTCAGCAAGGGCGTTGTCAACATGTGCACTCTGGTTTCAAGGACCGTTCTTTTTGCATGGAAGGCAGGAAGTATGGCCACCAAGGTTTTCATCATCATTACAAGTTCCAGTCGATCTGGAGAAGAAGAAGGTTGTAGCTGTAGCAACTCAAAGCAATGACGCAGATTTCATATACAGGATTCAACACAAGAATTCATTTAAGACGTTACAAAAGATAGTAGCATATGTTCTTAGATTCACTAACAACGCAAGAAAATCAAAGGAGTCACGTGCCACACATATAGTACTTAGTGCCAACGAATTGGATGCAGCATTAATAACTATAATATGTCACATTCAGGGTAATGATTTTCATGAAGAAATCAAACAACTAAAGAAACAAGGTCATGTTGATAAATCTAGTTCAATCAGTAGTTTATCTCCATTCATTGATAATGCAAATGTTCTTAGAGTAGGAGGACGCTTAGAAGCCTCATCATTACCATACGATTCTAAACACCCAATGCTGATCCCATACAATGATCCATTGGCAAAATTATTATTCGTGATGTTCCATGAAGAAAACAAACACTGTGGCCCGCAGGCACTATTGAGTACAGTCCGACAACGTTTTTGGCCGATTAAAGGTAAATCAACAGCCCGAGCAACAGTTCAGCGATGCATTCGATGCAACAAAGCACGTCCGCAACTATGCCAACAAATTATGGGCAATTTACCAGAATCAAGAATAACTCCTGCAAGACCCTTTATTAATGCTGGTGTAGATTATTGCGGACCATTTTGGATCCACTACAAGGTGAGGGGCAAAAAGCCAACAAAGGCATATATTGCTGTCTTTTGTTGCTTTTCTACAAAGGCGGTACATCTCGAGTTAGTGACCGATTTATCAACAAATGCTTTCATTGGAGCATTAAAACGATTTATAAGTCGACGAGGACGTTGTTTGAATATTTACAGTGATAACGCAACAAACTTCGTAGACGCCAAAAACCAGTTAGCAGAATTAGAAGAAAGCATTTATTCTAATAAGGACAAGAAGCAATAATCTCTGCCTGCAGTACCACAGGAATAAATTTTCATTTTATTCCACCAAGGGCTCCACACTTTGGCGGTTTATGGGAAGCATCCGTAAAGTCCGCAAAATATTTGTTACTACGCAGCGTTTCAACAGCATCATTGACGTATGAAGAACTCGAAACAGTAGTGGTGGAAATTGAAGCGATATTAAATTCACGAACATTGACTCCAATGTCCAATGATCCAACTGATTTGACAGCATTAACTCCAGGACACTTATTAATTGGAGAAGCTCTTACAACTCATGTAGACAGCCGATCGAAACCAGAAAAACACACGTTATTGTCACGTTGGAACCTAGTTTCCCAGTTAAAACATAATTTCTGGAAACGCAGGTCTAACGAATATTTGATGGAATTGCAACAACGTAACAAATGGAAAACACAATCTGCCAACATACAGTTAGGAGACATGGTTATAATCAAAGAAGATAACGTCCCAGTGATGCAGTGGCCCTTGGGACGAATTGTACATGTGTACAAGGGTACAGATGGACATATCCGAGTAGCTGATGTTAAAACATCGGCAGGCATTTTTAAACGCCCAATTCATCCATTAGCTATACTGCCAGTAAATACAGATGATCAACCAACAATGGCTGAAGCTGATCACGAAGTACCTCCTGACAAGTTAATTATGAAAGATAGAAAAGAGTCGTATGAAGAGCCCAAGACAAAACGTAGAAAACTGCCAACCAATTTGTACTGTTCTGTATTACTTACACTATTACTGATATTGCCAATAGTAATAGGATCTCCAATTGACAATAAAAGGTTTGGCACAAAATTGGGTATTCACTTTGAAAATCTGGGCACAACTGCCATATCAACCACTGAATGGAATCTACTAGTTTATTATGATTTAAGTCTTTATTGGACGGAAGCAGCAGCTCTAAACACAGGAATAATGTCGCTACATCAAGCTTGTCAACAAATGAAACCAAATGCATCATGTGCGAATACAGTTAATCACTTTAAACATATTGAATCCGAACTACAACTCGATGATAAATTACTTCATAATCATCGCTTCAAAAGAGGAGCAATTGATCTTGTAGGCAATATTGCACATTCGCTGTTTGGAGTATTAGACTCAGAATATGCCAAAGGAATGTCAAATATAATTACAGAAGTGAAACAAAATGAAATACAATTATTGACGCTATTTAAGAATCAGACATCAGTTGTCGATTCAACAATCAACATAATGAAGAAAGATAAAATAGCAGTTCAAGAAGGTTTTGACCACATTGACAATGAAATAAAGGTATTGATAAATTCAATAAAAGATACAAATAGAGAGGTAAATCAATTACGGCTCAATCAAGTTTTCAATGCAGGAGCCATTCAATTAACACTGGTAGCACATAATCTACAGAAGATACAATCTGCTATTATAGATGCTCTAACTGATACTCATCATGGAAAAGTGAATCCATTGTTATTGACACCAACACAATTACAAAAGGAAGTTAATCAAATCAAACTTCATTTATCACCATCATTAGAATTACCGATGCCAGAAGATGAGTTAATATCCCTTTACAGACTAATGAAGGTTAAAGGTGGAATCACACAGCAGCATGCAGTTTTTAGTATAACACTACCCTTGATTGAACATGAACGATTTGAATTGTTTCAGCTAATTCCAATCCCGAACTGGGTAAATGACTCCATGACGGTAATTGACTCCTGCAGTTCTATTTTGGCTATTAATACGCAGCATGATCAATATTTTCCTCTTATAAAATCCGAATTAAGTCTTTGTGAGACCATTAAGGAAGAGGAATTTCTTTGCACCAACGTCCGCATACGATACAATTTTGGTTCCGAAGTATGTGCGTGTGAAGTCAACCTATTCAACAACAACACAATACCAAATTGTCGGTTGAAACACACTATCAACAAGCTGACCTGGATTCCATAGAATCACAGAAATCAATGGATTTATGCGACATCAACATCTTCACGAGCAACTGCAGTATGTAATAAGGAAATCATACCACTAAATCTAAAAGGTTCAGGTTTATTGACGATCGATCCAGACTGCGTGCTTAAACACAACTTTGTTTCCGTGCAAGGACAACAAATAATTGCAAGCACGTCAAGATATTCATACAGTAGTCTTGGTACAATCTCCGAATTAAGGCTACAACCCCCTATGAAGACATCAGATGCTTACAGCGGCAACAGTACACTGTCAACGGTACGCAACAACCAATACGATCAACAGCTTAAAGAACTCACAGTATTGCAGAAGGTGTTACAGTCATACCAGATAAATGATCTTCCAAATCAATTTCAGTCACACAAGTACCACAGCTTCACCATAGCTTACGCTGCACTCGTTATAGGGCTGATATTAATCATAATCATGATGAAGAAGAAATTGCAGAAAACACATGTTGAAATTCCATCCGATGAAGAAGCCACCCGCACAACACCTACACCCATGCCACGTCGACAGTCACGAGAATTCGTTATCAACATATAGTCGGACTGACTACCTGACAGCTAGAGGCTCATATTGTTGAACGGTTGTTCAACGCGGGGGAGAATGTTGAATATTTGTTTATATTATATTATATTATTGTTTTTATTAATTTTGTATGAATAATTTGTTATTTTTATTTATAATTGTGTTAAATATACAAGGTGAGATGAAAAAACTGCAACAAAGTAAAACGCCATAATTTTTTAATTTTTTTTAAATTTTATTGAATGAAAGCAAAAAATGTCGGAAATAACATCAAATTTGAGAATCGGTTTAGATTTGTTCGAATTGGCCACCTTTGGCCCGAAAGTGGCTCTGCGGTATTTTGTCCCATTCTCGGCGAAGCGCTTGCTTGAGATGATCGACACTTTGGTATTTTTTAGTTCCAACCTTGCTTTCCAAAATACCCCAGGCACAATAGTCCAACGGATTGGCATCCGGAGATTTTGGTGGCCATTGTGCGGTGGAAATGAAGCGAGGAACCTCATTTCTTAACCATTCTTGGATGGCGCGTGCTGAGTGCGATGGTGCTGAGTCCTGTTGGAATGTCCAAGGTCTGCGGCCGAAATGTTTGCGTGCCCAGGGCTTCAGAACTCCCTCCAAAATATTTTCGCGATAGATTTGCGCATTTAATTTGACACCACGGTCGATGAATACGAGCGGCGAGCGACCATCGGCTGTTATGGCGGCCCACACCATCACCATGGCCGGCTTTTGAGTTGTGATGGCCAACCGAAGTTGCAAATTTTCAGCTGACCTCTCTGGCAAGTAAACACGATCATTTTGTTTGTTTACAAACTGCTGGATAACGAATGGTTTCTCATCGGAGAAAACCAAATTCGGCAGTTCACCACTTTCGGCCAAGCGAAACAACTCTTTAGCTTTTTCGAGTCTAACTTTTTTTTGCGCATCAGTAAGATCTTGCACTTTTTGGAACTTGAATGGCTTTAGTCCAAGCTCATTTTTCAATATTTGCCGAATGGCATATTGCGATATGTTCAGCTCACGAGCCATTTTTCGTCCACTGCGACGCGGATTTCGTTCAATTCGCTTTTTCACTTTTCGAACCATTTCTGCCGATGTTGCTGTTTTTTTTCGTCCACTTCCTTGACGTCGGGCTACGCTACCAGTATCATGGTAACGAGCGATGGTACGAGACACAAAACATTTATTCACTTCTAAATGCTGGAGGGCTCTAACGATAGCCACTTGTGGTTTTCCAGCCAAATGCAAAGCAATCACACTATCACGCTTGAATTCCATCACAAATAACTTTTTTTTTGAAAAATTCCCACCAAAATGCTTTTGTGCGCTTGTAAACAATATAATGAGCTGTCACTAGAATAAATCTGACAGCTGTGGGACGAGCGGTTTAGAAATGACAGCAGTCTGAAGTTGGTTGCAGTTTTTTCATCTCACCTTGTATTTGGTGTAAAAAATAACGTTGTCAATGCAATGCCCAAAATACGTCATACGCTTCTGCTGGCACATGAAAACAAAAGCGTCAAATTTCGTCTGCAAGAAAATGCACTCTTGCAGTTTGCAATAAGTTCATTGTTTGGCATGCATTCTCAAGGTTATTTTAGTTAATTTATTTGTTGTAAATTAATTATCAATTTTAAATAAAGGGCACAATTGAATTTTTGACAATCGAATTGATGCGAAGCCACATTCGTGATTGATTCATTTCTTTAGCTTTGTAAATTTAGTTCAAGTGCTGAATTTACGTCACAAAAGCGCCTATTCACTGGATTTAAGTGTTCAGTGACTAGGATAATTAGGACAATCGTCGAAATCTCTGGGTTCAAGTACTCAGTGGTTTTCCTGTTTAAATAGATCCAACATAAGTACTGGATTCAAGTGTTCAGTGCTTGCAAAATAGTTGATTCCAACGTTGATCAGACATTTTGGTTTGATCGTACAGTACTCTTCATGCCAACGACACCAAAAGTCCTCGTACATCTAGCTTAATAATCTCCATCGAAACAATATGCCTATTTTTGTGTTCAATATATTAGATTCTGGTATAGTGTTTGGCGCTCGTCCGATCAGAAAGTGACCTGGTGCCAATACTGACAGATCACCGGGATCATCAGATAGAGCAGTGAGTGATCGCGAATTCAACCAACTTTCAACTTGTTTTAGGAGTGTGTAGAATTCTTCAAACGTTAAAGTCGCGGTATTGATCACCCGTTTTAGATGAAATTTCACACTTTTGACTCCAGCTTCCCAAAGGCCCCCAAAATACGGAGCCGCAGGAGGAATAAAATGCCAATTTACGCCAATTGTTGAGGCGTACACAGAGCCAGCCTCCAGTTGGTTTCGTAATAATTGTAGTTCATCCTTCATTAGAGCATCAGCACAGACAAATGTTGTGCCGCGATCACTGTACATATCAGAAATTCGTGGAATAGAACTTATACAAATCGCTTTGAGGCGGCTAGAAACGTTTCTGTTGTCATATCGCTCACGTGTTCCAAATGAATGGCACGCGTAGCCCAACAAATAAAGAGAGCCACATAACCTTTATATGCCCGAAAGCCCCTACCCGCGTAATCCACTCCAGTGTGCATGAATGGTGATGAAGCTTTACATCGTTCTAGCGGTAGGTTACCCATGATTTGTGTTTGAGGACGGCAAGTGTGACGGAAATATGGGATGCACTTATGAATTACGCTCTTTACAGCCGATCTCCTACCAACAATCCCGAATTGCCTTCGTACATATGCCAATGTAGCTTGTGTTCCTCCATGTAATGTACGATGGTGAGCTTTAATAATGCCCAATGTAGTAAATGAATGATGCTTTGGTAAGATCATGGGACTCCTTTCGTTTACAGGAATGTTTGTATTTTGTAGGTGGCCACTAAGGCGCATGGTGCCTTCAAAATCAATTACAGGATTCAATTTGATGAGTTTACTTGATTTGTTGATTGGCTTCTTATTCAGTACAGCAATGTATTCGTTAGAAAATTGACTTTTTGTACAATTGCAACCTTTTTTTTGAGTGCGGCATACCGTTTAGGCCAAGTGCAGAAATTCTCGGATTTATGTGGTTTTCGTTGACATACATCAGTAAAACGGAGACATAGACGCATTACTCCAATTCGTCTGACAATGCTTCATCCCAATTTAATCCGGTACGCCAAAGCTGTTGTAGAAGGATCTTTCCTCGTATAGTCACTGGAGCTTTGAACCCAAGAGGATCAAAGAGTTTGGCTATGTCCGACAACATTAACCGCTTGGTGTAATGATGGTTGTCAAAATCTAAATTGCTTTTAAACCCAAAATGATCGGAATTTGTAAATCAAATAAGTCCTAGAGCTTTCATTTCACCTTCCTCGTTAATTTCTATCGTGTCATTATGAGCCTTTACGTTATCTTCAAGACTATTGGAGTTGGAGTTACATTTTCGTAAATTAAAACCAGCAGTTGCTAATAGTGTCTGGATTTCATGTAATTTTTCTGCCGCTTCCTTAGGATATCTGAGTCTTTGGTATGAACGAAAATTTGATGACACATTTTTTCAATATCATCTGTGAACATTACTGGGTACAGTCACCATTGCAATATGATATTCGGCAAATAGTTCAGCAGTTCGGGTCCTATATGGAGGCAATCATTAAGAGATATCCTACTAGCACATTTTTTGGATGCATTAAAAACGACGCGTAGTTTCGTGGTAGAACTTGATGCCTTATAGACGCCGTGATGAAAAAGGTAACACGTTCGATTCGATTCATCCAAATTTTGAACCACCTCCATGTGGCAGCATGCTTGGTATTCATACATGAAGTCATGATACAGTTGATTCAATGCGGGATTTCGAGAGAGCCGTCGTTGTGTACTGTCTAGTAATGCCAGCGCATCGTTCTTACTAGACTTAAGTTTTGGTAAATCCACATTCTTCTTCAGCGGAAGTTTGACAACATATCGACCAGTGTCGTTGCGTACAGTGGTACGTTCAAAAAAGTTTTCAAAAAATATTTCATTGTTTGTCAACGCAACATGATTTGTCACTTCTTCTAATTCCCAAAACTTCCGCAAAGTATCGCGTAAGGAAATTTGGGTATGATAGCACTTAGTTCGGCTTTTACACAATGCGTGTTTAGGTTCAGAAAATCCATCACAGATAACCCAGTCTAATACTATGTTTACATTACGAACTTTAGTGAACGAATTTTGCTAAAATTGATTCAGCGTTTACATTATCGTTTCGGGTTCTCATTTTAACAGTTGCTGTTTTTGTTATCTTTTGTTTACATTTGTTTTGTTTACATTTTGATAATTGTGAATATTGTGTTTGTTTACTATACGTTTTGATGAAAATTATGGATCAAAATATAATTACATTGCTCTGCAGTGAATCTGCACAACAAAAAAAAATAAAATAATTAATAAAGAAATTCCCCTTAATGAGTATGATTAATGTGTATGTTTGACAAATAATTTTTTTTAATTAGTTTAAACAAATATATAGGTTTTTGTATAAACTGAATAACATACTAAAGGTATTCAAAAATGTTCTGCAACTAATTGCATTTGGTATAATGAATAATTTTATAAATATAGTTTTCGAATTATTTCAAATATATTTTTTTTCTAAATCGACTAAAAGATAAAAATCACAATACATATATGCAAATAAGTTGTTTTTATTTAGGACTGTAAGGAATTATTAAGTTTTCGGAAAATTTCTTTACGAGGTGCAGTCTTACTTCTTTCTCAAGTAATAGCAAATTGGTGACATTAAAATCATGTATTTATATAAATCAGCAATTTGTTTTAAATATTTTTCTTGTATCTGAAAATAAAATCATTTTATATATATAAAAAAAGGAATATGTATGATATGATAAAGCACCTTATTTCTGGAAGAGCACATGCTACATGGCTGTTGATTTTGCTTCATAAATAATAGTTGGTTTGTGTGTGTCGATGTAAACAAACAAAAGTGTAAACAAAACGAAATGTCATTTCGCCATTTTCACACTAAAAACTTATCGAAAATTAAAAACTTAACGCATTAAATTCAGCACTGTATTCAGGAAAAGGTATTAAATGAAGCCAACTTTCGGTCAAAGTTCGAGTTTTGTTGTGCCTATTTTTATATGGCAAAATCGACTTTGGTTGCCGGTTTTGCGCTCAAAGTCGATTCCAGCCAGCAAAGTTCGTAATGTGAACAAAGTATAATTGAGTGTGTTGAACAATGATGTTGTTTGTTGAATTACGTTTCACTTCATCAAGTAGGACAACGGCAACGTAATCCGAAGCGCTCATAATAATGCCTATCGGACCTGTAACATGTAACTGTGGATCAGCGAAGTCAAAATTTAAAAAATCTTCAAAATTTTTTTTGGTATTGCAGTATTTGGGCTAATGCTACCTACTCGAGGCAGTGTTAATGCACTGCATTTTTTCTGAAAATTTTATTTCATAGAGTGAATTTAGAATGAGACCAATCCTTTAACGTAGGCAACATTTTCACCATTGGCCCCATTTATAGGAATTTTCGCACGAGTTCTATTGAGTTTTAATCGTTGGGCGATAAATTCACTGATAAACGTCGCCTCTGAAGCACTATCTAAAAGAGCACGTACAATCATTTTTTGGCCTGAACTATCACTCACTTCCACTAATGCAGTACCAATTAACACGGATGGTAATGTTCGAGCAACTTTATTTGCAACCACAACACAAGTGTTGTTTGATGCCATCACGTAATAGTCAGCTTGTGGTTTTACCTTGCGCTCTGTATTAGTGTACTTTGACGACTCGTTATTTGTTTGATGATCATGTAGCAGAGGATGATGCTTTGCATTGCATCGCAAGCAGCGATATTTGGACGGGCAATACATATGCCCCGTTCTTAAACAATTGAAGCACAAGTTTCCCAATTTGGCTACGTCACGTCTTTGTTGCTCAGGCATACGTCGAAAATCATTGCAATACGGCAACAAATGATTACCTCGACAGTGGAAGCACTGCTGAGTAGTTGTATGGTAACTTTTCAAATTTTTAACTTTGTTAAATGTGGTAGTCCTCTTAACATGGTTAGGATTATCGGTTATACTATTCACAATTTCCAATGACTGCACTCGGTTCTCTAAATATTTTATCAGCTCTTCAAATTTCGGGATTTGCTACGAACTGGATGTTGATAACTCCCAGGCTAGGATTATCGGTCATACTATTCACAATTTCCAATGACTGCACTCGGTTCTCTAAATATTTTATGAGCTCTTCAAATTTCGGGATTTGCTCCGAACTGGATGTTGATAACTCCCAGGCCGCTCGTGTTTTAGGATCTAATTTATTTAATAGGGTGAACACTAACCAATCATCCCAGTGTTGTACAGGTCGATCAAGGTGTTTCTATGCGCGTACGGCGGAAGTAATAGTATCACAAGGTAAGCGTAAACTTTGTGGAGAATCGTCGAGAAGCGTTTTTACATTGACAATTTCTTTAAGATGAGCATTTATGATTATTCTTTTATTTTCGTACTTCCTGACAAGTAACTCCCACGCTACTGCAAAATGTGCATCAGTGGTAGTAATATTATCTAAAGCGTAATATTATCTTATAATTTAAATACTGAAGTTTTTGTGTATTGGAAAGCGCAGAGTTATTGATGATGACATACGTGAATAAATCTTTAAATGAATACCAACTTAAGTAACTTCCATCGAACGAGGGGACTTTGATCCGTGGCAGATTGGCAGTTAATTCCAAATTCGCCGCTGTTTTGCTAACAGGATCGTTGTTACTTGGTACGTTTTCTAAAGTAGAGTTTGATACTGAATCAATCACCTCTTCGATGGTTTCACAAAATATCGCTTCCATGTCCATATACGATTCCTCACTGACTAAAGATAGCATTGCTTCACTTGTTTTAGTTTTCAACGAGTCGTCATTGATATTGGCAAGTAAAACCTCTCGTGCTTCATTATACTTTTCCCAATAGCTATCTAATAGTGTCTTTCGGCCAGCAAAGTAGCCTTTAGTTTGTTTAATTTTAGTTCTTTTTTCCGTATTTGCCGAAAACTTCTTTATGACGATTTGAAGGTGGGTTAATTTTTCCATTTTTATGTGCGAGACAAATTATCAACTTGCGCGATTTTAGCAAAACTGAATTAATAATATTGAAGTAAACAATTGCGCACAGTGGCGTCAGTAAAGTATATACTTTTACAGCGGATAGTTTTAAAAGTATTACAGCAGCAATCACGTGATTTCGTGCTGCTGACGTGGCAAATTATATCACTTAATTCACGATAAAGAGCGCAGCACCCGTAAGTAGCAACAAATTACAGCAACTGAACGCAAAAGTTGAAATTAATATTGCTCCCCGCAAGTGATGCCAAAATGTTCAAAATACTAAATAAAAAGCCAAACATCTAAATTCAATTGTACAACCGTTTTGTTTATTTATTCGTTTACTTCTTCCACTTCTACACCTCCGACAACCGTACGCAATCATAGATGCTATCCAACTAACTAACAAATAGAAAATATAAGTATTATAATATTAACATTTTAACAAACAAAATAGGACTTAATTCTAAACAGAAGTGTTTCGGGGAGTTTTGATTTTGGTTGTTTTAAAAAAAACACAGTCCGTCGGTAGAGAGCTTAGAAAATATTATAACATATAGGCCATGTGCAAGTTTGAGTAAATTAAGGTAAAGTTAATTGAAATTTCGTAGTGATTTTTTGCACTGCACTTATGTAAATATTTATTTATTAATTTATTGCACTTATTTATTATTTTTGGTTAAAAGTTTTTAAATTTATTTATTTATTTATTAAAGATCGTATAAAATTTTCACAATGGTAACACCTAATTTACTTAATTTTTATATAATTTACCCTACTC